TATATAAAAAATAGCCACATTGTAAGTCAGGGACGACTAAATTTATATGAGAAATAACGTTTGAGAAAAGATTTTAGCCAGACGATTTACCAAATAACTGCCTTTTCCGGAAAAAGTTAGAAGGTTTGAGTTAGTAGGCTTTTTTTTAAGGATTTCTGGTGAGGTGTGGAAATATTAGCAACCTATTTAAATGATTTCAGTGAGGTGTGAAATTGCGTGTCTAAAATTAACATTTTTTTCTTACGTATTACAGGTCAAATCGGTACAATCTCGTTGACGCACCCTTTCTGTTCGAATGCCTCCCATCTAGAACACTAACCTGAGCACAGACTGCTGAGGGGAGTTATGTGGAACGCCATATAATCCTTTAAACTAACTACTATCTATTTTACTATAACTTTATTACTAGGGCTAAGTTACTAGAACTTATTTTTTTTACTTCAGGATCATTTTAATATCACTAGTAGGTATAGCCCACTATAATTATTTCAAAAGTACCAACTACCACACTGGCCAGCAAGGGTACAATGTGTCTGCTTTAAGGAAAATGTGCTTTTCACTACTCCCATAGTGTATGATTGCAGAAAATATATATGTTTTATTGAACATTGATGAAACAACAAATTTTTGTGGGAAAATAAACCATAAAAGTTGTCTGTTTTGTTTTAAAACTCTTATAAATGGATTTTCAAAAAAGCCCAGGGAGGGCTTTTTTGCCCCACACTCAGGGTAAAAGGCTAACCAGCATTGGGCTAAAGGCAGTATTGATTAAAAAAATACTTTAGCTAAAGTAAAGTGTTTTGCATAACTTGTAAGTTAATACTTGTTTGTACTATTTTCTGGTTATTTTGATAAATAAAATAAATTATTTTGTTTAATAAACATACTGTCATTAACATTTTCATTTAAAAAATATTATATATACAGTGGTGGGTAAAATTATTAGAACACTAGTATTTTCACCAGCTAAAAAATTTTTTTTAAGTCAGTTATTTCCATCTTTTGCTGTAGTGTGTCAGTAGGAAACTGTGGCAATTTCTGCAAGATGCTTCAAGAAACCTACCTGCAAAGCTACAGTACTGTTAAAAAATACTGTAAAATGAGGATGCTGTCAAAAGCAATGTCATAAATAGATTTTCTTTATCAATTAACTTTTATTAACTAAATTAAAATCAACATTTGGTGGAACCATCGCTTGTGTTTAAAGCAGTTTTTGCCCTAGGTGCACTTGCTCGCTACCTAGTTTTTCAGGTAGCTTTGCAGGTAGGTTTCTTGAAGCATCTTGGAGAAATTGCCACAGTTCTTCTGGATTTAGAAACGAGCTAGTTTAAGGAACTGTTAGCTTGCCATAAGAGTTTTTTTTTGTTTTTTTTTTTCTGTTTTCACATGAAATGCGGGCGGAGTTTCTCCAATGTGAGGAGCAGCTGCTGCAGGGCCACTGCTGGCTTCCATTCATTACCATACATTCGCTTGTGTCCATCACCAAGTGGACGAGTTCATCTTATGCCTAGAATAGATTTCTGATCACATTCATTCATCGCTAATGTAGACGAGCGCCGTCAGGAGGAATTTTCATCAGTTTGCGGTGGTAATGTTGATGTGAGCTGTTACTGCGGAGATTCTCCGCTCACCGATCACAAGCTGATCTCACGCGCACTGCAATGATCGCTTCATCACATCCAGTCTGAATCTGGTCGAATCTCTGGTGCCGAGGGGACTGCATTGGTTTTACCCCTGCTAACAAGGAGATCAAAATGGGGAACAGTTTCTCCAACATATCTGCGTTTCAGTCTCTCCATATAGTGATGCTTGGCTTGGACTCCGCAGGGAAAACCACGGTCCTTTACAGACTGAAATTCAACGAGTTTGTCAACACTGTGCCTACAATAGGATTCAACACGGAAAAAATCAAGCTGAGTAACGGCACGGCCAAAGGAATAAGCTGTCATTTTTGGGACGTTGGTGGGCAGGAGAAACTCCGGCCCTTGTGGAAATCTTACAGTAGATGCACGGATGGCATTATTTATGTGGTGGACTCTGTAGACGTGGATCGACTGGAGGAGGCCAAGACGGAGCTGCATAAAGTCACCAAATTCGCTGAAAACCAAGGAACGCCGCTGTTGGTCATAGCTAATAAACAGGACCTGCCAAAATCTCTGTCTGTTGCGGATATAGAGAAGCAGCTGGCGCTCCAGGAGCTCACGCCTGCCACTACGTACCACATCCAACCGGCCTGTGCCATCATAGGCGAGGGGCTTCACGAAGGCATGGACAAACTGTACGAAATGATAGTCAAACGACGAAAAAGCCTCAAACAGAAGAAAAAGCGATAACTCTCTACAAAGCCTGCACCTGCCTTTTTCCATTGCCCGAGTCATTGGGTTTGCCATTTCAACGTTGCACTGTTGACATTCATCGGAATGGTTGTTTGTTGTCGAGTTGGATTTATGTTGCATGTGATCGTGATGACGCAGGTGAACCAAAATAACAATAAAAAATTTTGAAATAATTTGTTTAATATAAAAGGGCTGGTCCCGATTAAGCTGCCATTAATTTGCATAGCCTGGTCATCCGTTTGAAGGAGTTCTCTACTGAAGCACTGAAAAACGCTGTGACATTTCATGGAATGCTTGATATCTTATTTTGACTCTTATGGAATATAGAGTAAACTTCTAAGAACATTATCAAGAACTGTATCTTCAAAATCCCAGAATGAAACGGGTTTGAGGACAAAATTACTGTAACTTCAGTGGGCCTAAGTGGGTCATCCGTTTGAAGGAGTTCTCTACTGAAGCACTGAAAAACGCTGTGACATTTCATGGAATGCTTGATATCTTATTTTGACTCTTATGGAATATAGAGTAAACTTCTAAGAACATTATCAAGAACTGTATCTTCAAAATCCCAGAATAAAACGGGTTTGAGGACCTTGTAATTGACAAAATTACTGTAACTTCAGTGGGCCTAAGTGAGTATGAGACCTCATGAAGACGTCTAGATTTACAGGAACTCTGAAGAACACAAGTGATGGACTATAAGGCACTGCCTGTGACACGGTCCACCTCTAAGCACTTTTTTTCTTACCAAGATAGTAGTGTACAACACTGTAGATCAGATATTAGACTGTCAGTGTATTACAAAGTTGAGATGAATCCTGAAGTATTTTTCAATTAAAATGTGTGTTAAAGCAAACGCCTTATCTCATGTTCTTTATCAGGGTGATATGAGGGTAAAAGTTTTTTGAGGTGAGTACAGCAGGATAAATCTCTATGGATACATCTCTCATCTCAGATTTTTTATGTTTCAGAAGAAATAGACAACATTGTCTTCTGTACTTATGTGTTATAGGTTAATTGGAAATTTCACATGTATGAACTAATTATTTGGGCTCTGTTAAAAGGGGAGATAGTTTTGAATCTACAAAGCTTTCTGTAAATATTAAAAGGAGCTTTAACAGACTGATCACTTTTCAGTTTAACTAGCTTGGGTGTTTTACCTTCAGCACACTTTAATTGAACAAACTATCCTGCAATTTTACCTAAATTATTAGTTTTTTTTCTTCTCCAAAAATATACATATATAATTTACTAATTTTTGTACAAACAGTGTGTGTTTGGATAGCCATGCCCTCTGTTATATTAGCTTACGAGAATAAGCCCCCTTTCCAGACATGCTGACAATGGTGTCTTTCTATCCCATATAACTCTAGGGTTTCATCCCAAGAGGAAAGAGATGGTCAGTCTATACAAAAAACCCCATTTAAAAAAACCTGGCTGGTCATGTACAGCCACAATTATAGCGATAGGTTGTAGTCTTACCTGAAATTTGGAATTTGACTACATTTTAAATCTCCAGGAAATAATTATATAATATTATGTGTTTGTTTTTTGAATTTGGTCTTTATTCATCAAACCCACACATCAAACCAAAGTTACAATAAATAAACATAGACGTTTAATGATGCCTTTTTGTGGTTACAGACTGTGAAAAAAAATATGTTAAGATAATTTATTCCTAATTAGAGGGGGTAGTTAGAGTCATTTGTCTTGATTTGATAGGCGAGATGATAAGAGCCTCACTGTAGGCTACATGAAACTTTGATGAAGATCAGGTTTCACATGGGGCTTTTGTGGAGACAGAAGGCAATTCCCTGAGTACCTCCAAATGGACAGCTGAAGATGATGCTATAATGAGGTCATCAAGGCAATCTTTACATTCGTCTTGTCTAATAAAGACTAACCTAACCTAACGTAATTGACATATTTAACAGAATCCATGATGCGCATGAGGAATATTTACTCAAAAATGTATTGTCTTGATTTGATAGGCGAGATGATAAGAGCCTCACTGTAGGCTACATGAAACTTTGATGAAGATCAGGTTTCACATGGGGCTTTTGTGGAGACAGAAGGCAATTCCCTGAGTACCTCCAAATGGACAGCTGAAGATGATGCTATAATGAGGTCATCAAGGCAATCTTTACATTCGTCTTGTCTAATAAAGACTAACCTAACATTCCTAATATCTTCATTCCTATAACTCTCAGTTAAAGTTCAGTACTGTGTTTTATGTTCAAAGTGAATTAAGAGTATCCAGTAATTGACATATTTAACAGAATCCATGATGCGCATGAGGAATATTTACTCAAAGATGTATAATAGGCCTATTTTAAATGCAAGGTTTACACTCAAGTCAATTAGGATTAAACACCTTCATAAAGATAGAAACAGTTTAGAACTTTTGAGGTCAGCAAAAGCTTTTCTTTCGCACAGTTCTGTTGGAAACTGTTTCAGCCAATATGTATTTTTAACAGATTCTTTCTTGGTCACACATGATTCAACTGAGGACTTTCCTATAACAAAGATAGAAATGGTGACAAAATTAAGCGACTGTTGAGTCAGAAGGAAAAGCTAAAAATATTGCAACAAAGCATTTTAATGTTTCCACATTGCAGTCCTACAAGCGGTCACACACTCACATTGCTATTCTGCATATACTAAAACTCTGGTGAAAAAGACCTATGATTTAAAGCAAAAATAATAATAATAATATTAATGCCAAAATGTGTCCAAATCAGAAGAAACCTAGAGATTATTTAGGAACATTTGTGACACCTGTGGAACATGCTGATGGTCTGTTTTCTCAGCTGCAGCTTCTGTTGAATCTTATTGTTTTGAAGGTTGACTTTATACATATATATATAGGTTAGTATGTGTATAAAAATGCATATTAAGCAGCCCATCTTAACTCAGTGTGAGAAGCAAGTGTGACCCTCCTGTCAATCAAATGCAAACCTCTGGACCTATATGTGTAAGAAAGAAAAGTGTGAGATGTGAGTGAGAAATCTACGGAGGAGGGGAAAGCTGTTTACATTTCCCTGGAGAGGGGGATGGGAACAGAGACACATAATGGGTGAGTGTCTGTGCCGAGGGCAGGGGTTTGTGGGTGGATATCTCCAGGTTCCTTGAGGGAATAGCACAACAGAAAGAAGAAACCCGCAGTAAATGGTTGCAAATCAATGCCTGTGTCCTCCCTCTCACGGGAGAGAGAAGTACAGAATGAGAGCCACAACCCGAGCCATGCCCATCAGGCCTGTTTCACCACAATTCAAGTATCAAGAAGCATTATTGGCATTTAGCTTTTTAATTGAATTTCACTACAGTGTCAGTAGAGCTGCAGAACAGTATCAAAAAGTCTGAACAAGCATTAACAATCCTAAAACAACAGATTTCAAACCACTTCTTTTGTCCATTACCTTCTCAAGCTCTGTGGATGGAGTCTTCCACTGGATTTAGGGTCAGGTCACCCTCTTTTCCCAGCATGTTTGGCTGCACATGCAGACTTTGCTTGGGGCGGTTGTGTCTGATTCTGTGTTGATGTTGTACAGTGCATATTTATCATCCAATAGCATAAGAGAGGCATTTATCAGATAATATGAAGTGAAAAACCGAGTAAACTCTGCACTTACTCCTAAAAATGATGCTTTTACAATGCCTTTAGATCACATATGTCATCTAACATTTATGCTATTATACCTTTCAAACGTTTGGGTAACTTTTTTTTTTTTAATTAATATTTCACTTAGCAAGGATGTGTTTAATTGATCAAAGGGGACAAAGACATGTACAATGTTCCAAGGATCTCTGTTTCAAATTATTCATTTCAAATAATTCATTTAAACTATTTATCGATTCAAGAAACCTGAAAAAATATATATATATTATGGGTTCCACAAAAATATTCAGCAGAACAGCTGGTTTCAACATTGATAATAATAAGAAGGTTTCTTGAGCAGCAATCAGCATATTAAAATGATTACTGAAGGATCATGTGACACTGAATGGCTGCTGAAAATTCAAATTTGCCATCACATCACAGCAATACATTTACATTTGAAAATCTTTAAAATAATTTAATCTTTCAATATCATAAATTGTAATAAGATTTAACTATGACTGAGTTTACTGTATTTCCAGTCTATGAAATGCAGCATTGTCAAGCATAGGAGTTCATTCAGGGCCTTCGCTTGATTAACATGTTGCTCTCTTGCTCACTGAGGCTTCTGGAACACTCCTCCGCCACACCACAAAATACAGCATAATTAATCTATGAGAAACAAAGTGTGTAAACAATCACATAAATCACATTGCACCAGCAGTCATGCAGAGACAAATTAATTAGGTCTTTAATCTAATGACAAAGGACAGCTGTCAGACTCAGAATAAACAAACAGGCGTTTGACATCAGCAGACCACTGCAACCCATGAGCAGTACTGAACCGCTGGAGATCCACACGGCCCGCTGGAAAACAGAGCAATGAAGAAACCATCCATGATACATGACTTTATTCTTTATTCAGAAAGCTGGATATGAAATATTAGCTTACGTACATGCTTCAGGCATAAAAGGCTTTTGAAAAGCTTCCTTCTCTCATGTCTTGACTTTGTACCGCCGTAACATAAAGCACAAATGGATGTTTGATAAGTGTGAAACTGCAGCTACACCCAACAGACTTTTTGTTCTGGGGAGAAATCTGGGTCACATCCCACACCCACCTCTTCTAATGGTTTATGTTTCTAGGTCATTATACAATAATTTAATTGTTTGTGCTTAGTGAGATGAGCTATAACTTTAGGACACTATAGAACTAGAAGATTAAGCTAAATTTATATGTTAACATGGAATATAAAACCCTTGTGGAAAAAAGGGATATTTGAGCCCTAAGCTAAATCCTCATCACTTTTGGCATAATATTAATTACTGCATAAATATTTTTGATATGTCTTATTTTCTTTAAAAGATAAAAAAAAATCTGGGTTAGTGTGAAGTACTCAGTTGATGTGAATGGGGCCAATCTGTAAACATTAAAATACTCTCTTTTAGCCAGAAGATATAAACAATATGCATGTTAAAAGGATTTAAGCAGGAAAAAAACACACTTACTAACCTTTTCTGTATGCAGTTTTATCCGGTTTTACTATTTCGGCACCATGGTGTAGTGCCTAAAAGCTTAAAATCACCTAAAAAAAAATCACGAGCCCACCTTTACTGCTCAAACAATAGTTTTAACAGAAGGTTTAATGTAAGTACTTTTATAAAATTAAGCTTCACAATTACATCACTGTAACGGTGATTTTGCTAGTCAAAATTATTTTGTGTGATAATCAACATTTTGCCACAAATTCTGTCGATTGAACTTCACGTATTAAACAAATTCATTCAAGAGAAGCTATATATTAGTTTTAGCAGA